ACACACAAAGACACCAAAATCCATGCATGCTCAAATCCCTTAAATAGAATGGCACAGTATTTGCATATAATTTCTGCATATCCTCCTGTATACTTCAAATCATCTCTAGATTATAGTACAGCCAGAATGCTCCTTGAAAGTGAGAATGGCTAGACTTTGTCTCACTTTGGTCATGTTGTCAGAAGGGGCCATTCTCTGGAGAAGGATGTCAAACTTGGTAAAGTGGAGGGTCAACAAAAGAGGGAAGGCCCTCAACAAGATGGATTGACCTGACGGCTGTAGTGATGGGCTCAGGTATAGTAGGGATTGTGAGGCTGGCACAGGACTGGGCAGTGTTTTTTCTGTTGTTCACAAGGTCACTATGAGTTGCAGCTGACTCAAGGTAGCCTAGTGCCTAAGGCACTTGACTGCTAACCAGAAGGCTGGCGGTTCAAACCCACCAGCCACTCCTTGGAAGGAAGGTTGGCAATCTACTTTCGTAGTGATACTGCCTTAGAAACCCAAGGAGGATTCGCTATGAATCAGGTCCGACTAGACGGCACATAACAACAAAAACAACAATGGCACATAACAACAACAACAGATTACTTATAATACTTACTACAATGTACTTGTTATGTAAATAGCACTTCACATTCCCTCTTACCAAGTATTGAGCGAATGCTGTATGAGGCTAACAATGCTCAGTGAGTGCTGGGGAGAGACTGGGGATCTGTGAAAGGTGTGTGCAAGGGGCGCTACAGCAGGGTATGCCTACACATCACTTCACGCATGCGAATTCAGTGTAGCACTCGATGCATAGTAAATTCAAGTGTTGCTTTTTGAAAGTGGCTGGATTTTTTTTAGGTCCTCGGTTGGCTGAATCTGAGGACTCAGAACCTGCAGTTATGAAAGGTTAACTTTACATTAGGCCATGGGTTGCAGGAGCAGTGACTTCTGGTATCTGATTTGAAACTGCTTCCAGTTCTGCTTTGATTTTCCTGTTACCCTCCAGCTTTAGTCAAGTTATATTAACCACTGTTGGCTGGCCTCAGCAATACTTTAAGAATTAAAGGATGAGCCTGAATCCATACTTGGGGAGAGGAGACTAGAGTCTGCTCCTCGGAGGGGGGATGGTGGTCACACTTTCAAGAGCACATAAAGCAACAGTTTTCAAGTGTTAAGTGCAGTGAATTACTTAATATGGCCTTTGTAGCCATTGTTGTTGTTATGTGCCATGGAGTTGGACCCGACTCATAGTGACCCCTTTTTGGGTTTCCAAGGCAGTATCACTACGGAAGTAGATTGCCCAACCTTCTTTCTGAGGAGTGGCTGGTGGGTTTGAACCACCAGCCTTCTGGTTAGCAGTCAAGTGCCTTAGGCAGTATGCTACCAGAGCCCCCTTTGTAGCCACAGTCTTTATGATTTCCACACAATGACTGAGTGGGACCATGCAAATAAGGTATGTGGTTGGGGTTATGTGTCAATTTGGCTAAGCCATAAGTCCCAGGATTGTGTAGTTGTCCTCCATTTTGTGATCTGATGGAATTATCCTCCATTGTGGTATGAATCCTGACCTCTATATGTCAATGAGGCAGGATTAGGTTAGGTTGATGAAGATTAGGTTTGCTATGTTAATGAGGCAGGATTTGGGTGGGATGCACTCAGGCTACCAACCTTGCTCAAGTCATACCTTTTAATCTTACAAGAGATAAAAAGAGAGATAAGAGAGCAGAGAGAGGGGACTTGACTATCACCGAGAAAGATGGGAAGCAGAATTTGTCTTTTGGACCTGGATCCTTGTGCTGAGAACTTCCTAGACCCAGGAGACAGAGACAGAGACAGAGAGAGAATGAGAGAAAGCGAGAGAGAATACAAGAGCGAGAAGATGCAGCACAGTAAGGGGCAGTGGAGAAGCAGCAGCAGGGGCAGCAAAAACAGCAGAACCAGGAGACCAGCAGGAGTCGATGCTGAGAGCTTTTGGGCAGGAGGCTTAATGGCAGAGCAGTGCCTCGCTGGAAAGTTGGCAGAGCCAGACTTATGGATCCATGGAGTGAGAAAGACCTGAGAACCTTTGGATAGGAGGCTTCCTGGAAGAGTGGGATGCCTCTCTGGGCACTTATTGGCAGAGCAAAAGAGCTTTGTAACACTTACCCAAGCAGGACAGAGGCCAGACAGAGGGGCCAGGAAGCCAGATTGAGGCCTGCCTGAAGGCATGACTGAGAAGAAGCTGTATCTTGATTAGTTCTGGATCCTGAATTGTAACCTATTACTTCCCTAATAAACCCCATAATTGTGAGTATTGTCTGAGTTCTGTGTAGCTATAGCAACAAATTATCAAACTCAGCAGAAAAGTAAAGAATACTGTGAGAGGGATAGCTTGTGTCAGCATTGGTGAGAAGGTTGCAAAGAGGAGCTATGTCTGACCTCTGCCTCATAGGAATCAGCCTTGGGCTGTTGATCTTGATTCACCTTCCCCTTTGTGAAGTTAGAGGTTAGATGCCTCTGCCACATCATTTCTACAGTGAGTAACAACCAGAGGAACGTAAGAACTTCCTGGTGCTCCTGAGAAATAAAGGAAGAAGGGTTTTGGTCTGCCCTCAGTTATATCAAATAGTGGCATCATGAAAACTTATGAACTCCATAGATTTATATAGGTTTGGCATCTGTATGCAAAGTTTTAACTAATGCTTGAGGAATGGAGAAAATATAAAATGAAGTGGTAAGAAAACAGACACTATAAAATATCTAGGGAAGAAGGAGGTATTATATTGACATTAAATAACTAAGTCAAAGTCAGTATTTATTCTCCTCCTTACCTTTGAGAATATTTCTATATTATGAACCACTGTAGTTTCCATAGAGCTGAAATATCTTTCATTTTTTGGTCTGAAACAATTCTGAGAACAGGAATTTTGCATAATGCCTTTGGGATGGCATCCTCCAAAGCTTCAGAAACCCTGTCTGCAAGTGCTTGAGGCTTTTTAATTTCTTAAATTTATTCCCTCCCTCCCAAGATGGTAGGAGATTATATTCTGAAGAGGTTAACCAGGCTTTTTTTCTGAGTCCTTCTACTTGTTGCCAGCTATCAAACCAACAATTAAAATGGTAGGACTTTTGAATACTGTTTTTGTTTTTTTTTTTCCTTTTTCTGGGGGTGGGGTGGGGTGGGGAGAAATGCACAAAATGAACCTAACTCTCTTTGGCATTTTAGTAAATTCCTCACAGGAAATCAGACTCTTTAGACATATTAATGCACTTGATGAACTGGAACAAATATTTAGTGTATTTCTGATAAAAATTTAAAATTTAACTTATTATTTCTGCGTAACAGTATGTATCATATATACCCAGATCTTTTATGGGACAGGAGAAAAAGATCAAAAAAGAAAAATATCAGATTATAATAAAGGAAATCATGTATGTGGCATGTGTATGTGTGTACTTGAGAAGAGGGTATAGAGAGTGAGTGATGAGGAAGGTAGGGAAACAGAGGGGAGAACAGGGAGGGAAAGCTGAAGGTGAAAAGCAAAATGGAAGAAGCAAGAGAGCAGAAGCAGGGCAAGGGGTTGCCAGGAAGCACAGGGAAGAAGGGAGAAATAGAGAGGCAGGCAGACACAAACTTGGAAAAGAAGGCACCAGGAAATACAATACAATTATGAAATGCCCAGCCTATTCTTCTACTCTTCCTGGAACTTCTTATCTTTTTTATTTACACCAAAGACTTAATTCTTGCTGATGAGTCAATTACTGTTAACGTTCATTACACTGGAAGCAGAGACTCAGCATATTGTATAAATAGAAACACAAACATATAAAATAAAACCAATTATATCTAATCACTGCTTTATATCACCATGACACCTAAGCACAATGGACCTGTAGCACCTCTCTTAGTACCAAGCTAACTTTAAGTACTGGGGAGAAAATAAAACTTGACTCCGTCAACAGTGAGCAAGCTTCATTTTTCCTCAGTATGAACACTATGATAAAGGAGTTCCTTCCATAATCAGTTTAAAGAGAAATTACAAACCATAATTATTCATTATGTCTAATTATAACAGAATATACACTAACATATTGTTTCTCCCATGCCTCCTCCATTTTCTCCCTTTAGTAATTTTATTAAATATAAATAAATAAAAATTTTCTTTCTAATTTCCCTCAGATGAACTAGCTATTAGAAATACATAGCTCCAAACTCCTGAACTCTTAATAAAGACAAAAGAGTAACTAACTGATCTTTAGTTCTTTGATTTACTTCCAGAATGGTAAATCATTCACATGCCATCAACAGCTTTTGACATTGCTAGAATTGACAGCAGTCTTCCAAGGGAAAAATTATGGCCTAAACTGTAAACCAACAGATTCTGATAGCATCCTTTCACACCACTTAATTTTTCAAAAAGGAGATAAACATGGAGAAAGGTTATGTGTGTATGTCTGTGCACTAGGTGCTAGGAAGGGTTTAAACACAGACAAAGAAAGTGGTAGGACTACAAACAGGAATATACTCTAGGAAATAATACAACTTAACAAAAGAACAGGACATTTTAATCACCTTCTATTAGCAGTTATAGATTAAAAGTAAGTAAAGGATGAATGTGATATAAAGTTCTTATTTATCATTTACACCTCACCTACTTATCATTTCAAAAACTGATCAAAATCCTATCAAGGGGATTCATAGTTTAGAAAATAAGATAAATAACCTGGTTTCATCTAAATCTATCCCATCTAAGATCACTAAGTTTTAAACCAACAATTAAATGGCTAACCACATATTGATAGGGAATTATGATTGTCTGGTATCATAGCACATTGTGTACCAATTTCTCACAGAATTAATTACTACAGTTATATACAACTATGACTATTCCACTGCCTTCTGGAATAGCTCCTAATTCAAACTCTCAGCTGAAATGCCACATTTAACCAGAATTTCAGCAAGAGAAGGACCAAAGTTTTTAATAATGTCAAAAACATTAATTACTATTGGAAAAAAAAAAATGGTTACTAACCTTGCTGGAGAGGCTGAGTGTTTGTACTGGGGTTCTGACTAACTGGTTGGGTTGAGCTACTGGCTGTTGTGGCAGTAACAAGTCGGACATAATGAAACTTGCTTCCAGGCACTTGAATCTGCTGAACATTGGGAGCAGTTGCCAGAGGAATAATTGTCTTAAATTGTGATGTGCTCACGCCTCCAACAGTGATGGTCTGCACAGCTGATTTCACTGCCTATTAAACAATACAACATTGCTATCATTAATCTGGGATTTAACTTTCCTACTCTTCTTTACTTATGACAATTACTTGAGTTAAAAAGTATGCTCCTCTATTTCATCAAAAGTTGTTGAAAGGTACAACCTATTCAAAGACAAATGAAGAGAGCAGTAATGAACACAGGAGTAAAGTCAATGTTAATGAGTTCTACCTTCCATCTCTAGCAGTTAATTTCCTTGATATTCCGGATTCTTGGTATGAAGAAATCATTACTTAATTACAAGAACACATACACACCGTTTTTGTTACTAGCAGTTAAAATTGACAAGAAAAGGATTATTTTAAATTTCCCACCATTAAAACCCATATACAACATAGGGAAGATACAGATACTTGGTTTTATTGCTACCCACCAAATTAACTATGACATATTATATATTCACATGTTCAAAGAGAGAAAGCACCCCCTCCCCCAAGCCCTTATTGAATCTAGTTATTTCTGAAAGGCCTGTAATACTCTCCAGGTATAAATGTACCCACTAACATATGGACAGGGGGCCAAATTCAGTGCAAAATTACTTTGATTTAGGTTGTCTAGGGAACTAACTGGGAGCTCTGGTAGCATAGTGCCTAAGGCACTTGACTGCTAACCAGAAGGCTGGCAGTTCAAATCCACCAGCCACTCCTTGGAAGGAAGGTTGGGCAATCTACTTCTGTAGTAATACTGCCTCGGAAACCCAAGGAGGGGTCGCTATGAGTCAGGTCTGACTAGAAGGCACATAACAACAACAGGGAACTAACTATATTTGGGTGAATCAGATGTGAGTCAAAATATTAGTTTTAATTTATTTTTAATATCTTACTTCAGTCGGAGAGCAATTTAACTCCCCAAAGAGCAAAATGAAACATAAGAGGCAGTCTTTACAATGTCTCCAAATCTGATGTTTAGCCAATGTGCAACAGAGTGACATACAAAAAAGGGTCCAGGCAAGCTTCTCTAACTAGTTCTACAGTGTTATTTTAGTAAAGAATTAAGTCTCAATGTATTCCTCAAAATACCTTCAGGTTAACACACAATTAGCATATGATCAAGAAAAATCTATATTCAACTATGTGGATAACAATTTTTAAAAGAAAAATTCTAAACAATATGAACATTTTTATAAAAACCTAAGAAAAAAATAAAGAAAAGAATGTCATTTAGTTTGGAAACTCTAAAGGCAATAGCCAAGGAGATAAATATATAATATTAATATATTATCATGAGGTCATATTGCCATTAAGTAGATTCCAATTTATAAAGACCCTATAGGACAGGTAGAACAGCCCCCATAGAGTTGCCAAGGCTGCAATCTTTATGGAAGCCGACTGTCAAATTTCTCCCATAGAGTGGCTGGTGGGATCAAACTGTCAACCTTTCAGTTAGCAGCCAAGCACTTTAACCATTGCTCCATCAAAGGCACCAAAAAGCAGACTGAAAATACAGGCAGTCCTCAGATTACAAATGAGTTCCATTCCTTAAGTCTTTCTTTAAGTCAAATTTATATGTAAGTCAAAACAGTTAGGTATGATTTGTATCTAATGTCAATCTATTGTTTCTTAGTATAGTGTACCTTTCTATGCATAAAATAAAGAAACGCTTCCAGATACACTAAAACATCTTTAACATAATAATAAAGTAATAACAATAATGTTTTGGTGTGCACTGCAACATAATGCCCATTTGTTATTAGGAACCATAGCATGTTCCTTGAATTTTTAATATAACAGGTTTAAAGGGGTTGGTTCATAACTATGGGTTATACAAAATATGGATGCTTATAACCTGGAAACTGCTTGTAAAGATAAAAAATAACAACAGCCACAGTAGTCAATGAGTTAAATGAAAATAGGAACCTTGAGAAAAGGGATAAAATATGTAGATACAGAACCTACTGAAAAACCAAGCAACCTATGAGACAAATATGTACAATGGTGTATGAGACATCCAACCAACCAAACAGTCGTCAAGTTGATCCCGAGTCATAGCAACCCCTCCTTGAGTTTCTGAGATGGTATCTCTATGGAAATAGTTTGGGAGCTCTGGTAGCATAGTGCCTAAGGCATTTGACTGCCAACCAGAAGGTTGGCGGTTCAAAGCCACCAGCCACTCCTCGGAAGGAAGGTTGGGCAATCTACTTCCGTAGTGATACTGTCTCAGAAAGCCAAGGAGGGGTCGCTAAGTCGGGTCCGACTCAACGGCACATAACAACAACAACATAACATGGCTGCAGCCACACCACCTTGCTGGATTAGTTAGGTTTCCATGGCATTGTGTTATCATTTCTTGACTTTCAACTTTTCTGAATCCTAAACTTTAAGATTTATAAACGTCAAATAATGGAGTCGTGGGCGGAAAAATATCAGCCCTGACTATATTATTAATTAGCATATAATTCTGTTTACATTTAATGTAGTTAATTAAATGTTTGATTTAGGACTACCATTCTAGTATTTCCTATTTGTCTGACCTGCCCTATGTTCTTTTTTCTTTCCTTTCTTGCCTTCTTTTGGATTAAATATTTTATTATTTCATTTTCTCCTTTATTAGCTTGTTATACATAGTTATTATCCTTCTAGTGGTTACCCTACAGATTACAATATACTATAAAACTAAAACCAAGCTCACTGCCATTGAGTTGATTCTGATTCATAGTGACCCCCTTTGGGTTTCTGAGGCAGTAAATCCTTATGTAATTAGATTGCCCCATCTTCCTCCCATGGAGCGGCTGGTGGGTTTGAATTGCCAACCTTCTGGTCAGCAGTCAAATGGCTTAGGCACTGTACCACCAGAGCTCCTTGCAATGAACTACCAAAAAGCAAACCAAACTCACTGCCATTGAGTTGGTCCCAACTCACAGCAACCCCTCCTTGGGCTTCTGAGGTGGTATTTCTACGGAAAAAGATTGCCCAATCTTCCTTCCGAGGAGGGGCTAGTGGGTTTGAACTGCCAGCCTTCTGGTTAGCAGTCCAATGTCTTAGGCACTATGCTACCAGAGCTCACATAATGTCCTACAGAGGTATATAATTAATACTTTACATATCGCCCAGACAATGAAAGAACCATAGAACACTGATGCCCTTCTTTTTCTTTGTCTTGGTTTTGTGCTACTTGTAGTCAAGTATTTTAATTCTACAAATAATATAAAACCCACAAGATATTCATTTATAAATAATCACAAATTGAGCCTTTTTATCCTTCCTACATTTCTGTGCTTCCATTTGGGATCATTTTCCTTATGCTGAAGATTTACAGGATTTCCTTAAGTGCAGGTCTGCTGATGAAAAATTCTCCCTACTTTGTTTCTCCAAAAATGGCTAACCCTCTCTTTATCTGTATTTAACCTGCTGCTAACCTCACCTTCTGCATTCTTAACTTGTTTTAAATTTTCTGCTTGAAACTATTCATCTGACTCCTTTTCAGTTCCCAGTTCTCTGCTGAAATTCTCCATCTTGTTAAATAAAGTCGCAAGTATATTAATCTTACTTATTTTAAGTATCTACAACTGCTAATTCCAATACCTATTATCTCTTTGCTTTGAAAAATTTGATCTAGTTTCATGGTATGCCTGATGAGCTTTAGCTAAATGTTAAAACTGTTTATTAAAAATTAAGAAGATATTTAGTTTTGTGTATTTCACTGTACATAAATTATATTTCAATAAAATGTATTTTTAAAAAATGAGAAGATACAAGGAAAATTTAGGGTCAAACTTAAGGGCCCTAATATTTGG